TGCTCAGGACTAAGCAATACATGGCTGACTCAACCTACAATGGCAATTTTCTGCACTACCCTTTCCGTGTCGCTGAAGTTCTTTACAGCACCGGTGCACCTACAGGTTCATGATGTAGGTCTAATTTGTTTTGACTTCCGCTGTGAGTCTTCATGAAATGTTTCCAATGTCTAAAGAACAAAAAACACTTCTTGCCAACCCTGGCAGTTGATAGCCCCAAGCGGCCGTTGGGTGTGCAATTCGTCGACATGGTGCAGAAGCATTTGCCGCTCCTTCGGATTCCAGAGTATGGTCTTCAGCTTGCAGCTGATCATTTGGAAGCGTGGATCCAGGGGAAACTCCCACACGACGACTTCGTGGACATATCACCGTTTCTAAGACTTACTGTATGAGTTCACCAAGGGTCTGTCTGTTTTTAAATCATGGCCCGATTCATGCTTCTCTATCTCGACCAACCCGTCCCAGGTTCGAGAGACCCATAGCTGGCACCTCCACAAGCGCAGAGAGCCAATTTGCGCCCAACGCCTTGGTTCAACGAGCGAATATCGTACAGTGTCTTGCTTCCTTTCAGCTTACTTGCCAATCTCTTTCGCTAGCTGCTGCACTCTAGAATCCTTAAATGACAAGATACCACCAAAACCTTGACTGTGGGGTCTGGGGAAGGACTACGGCTGTACTAGAAAATAGTGTGTGTTGATTGTGTTTTGAACAGGGTTGCAAAATGCCCAAGCAAAGCTTCGAGGCTAAGCCGTGGTCAAGCGGATCGGCAACACATTGTGCGATATTCTGAAGAAGCCAAAAAAAATGATGGTGTACGACGTCGCGGCACAAGCTTGGGCATGGGGGCTTCCTTGGAGTGAGGCCTTACCGATTGCCCGAAGGGCAATTCAAGGTTCATCCCCGAAAGCGAAGGCTTGGCCTAAGGCCAAAGCAAAACCTAGAGCAAAGCCTAAAGCTAAAGCTAAAGCTTCAGTCCGGGCCTAATTTGCTGATCCAGGACACGAGCAGTGCAAAAAAAAATCATCGGAATCATAGAGTTGTGGGCTCACATATTCATCGGACCTGTGCCTCCATTGGGGTCCTTCGGAAAACCTGTCATTCTGATGAATGCTAGGTAGCATTCGTCGGACTAGCTGTCACCAGAATTGAGAGAGTTTTGGGGGAGCAATTCTGGGCTTTCCAATTTTGAGGCGATGGTCCCCAGTCTGATGAAAGCCAGGTGTCTTTCGTCGGAATCAAAGGCTCTTGACACAAGCCTCACTAGTGATGGATTCTGGAGGGGTTGGACTGTGCATTCTGATGAATCCATTTTTGCATTCTGATGAATCGTAGGTAGGATTCGTCGGAATGGTGGATCTGGTTTTTGAAATCCGTCGGAATGAGACATCTGGGTTTTGAAATCCGTCGGAATGGGAGCGGTGGGTTTTGAAATCCGTCGGAATGGGAGTGGTGGGTGTTGAAATCCGTCGGAATGGGAGGGGTGGGTTTTGAAATCCGTCGGAATGGGAGTGGTGAGTTTTGAAATCTGTCGGATTGCGGAGGATTAGTTCTTCAACTCGACCATTTTTTAAAATTTTGGGGACGAAGGCCACCTCCACCTCAAACTTCAAACTGCTTTGCTATTATGGGACTTGTAACTGAGACCCCAGACAGAAACACCGGCCGTCTTCGTCTCTCTAAACCCCTGCCATGCCCTGCGCCACCTCTCAGGTCATCTCCGTGTGACCCAGGCTCGAACAGATCGGCATGGGGCGGCAGAACTCTCGATGGTAAAAGTGCCTTTCACAGTCCCGTGGAAGATCAAGCAACCCTACAAGTAGTTGGTAGTTTCTTGACCCATCACTGTCGTTTGCAGCTGTTTAGAATCGCTTTGGATAATGAATGCCAGGCATTTTGCTCGTCGGTGCATAGTCAGTTTGATAGGTTTCCGGGTCAGGGCATCGTTCGACTATGGGAAAGCGCAAGGGTGGCAGCCAGGGCCAACCAAGCCAAAAGCTCAAGCAACCTAAAAGTGGTGATGCCAAGAAGAAGTTTGGGTATGTTGAAGATATCACTACATGGCTTCTCGTTTAAACACTGTGTCCGTTTTGTTGCTACAGCCAGCTTTTCAAGCTTCTCGCTTACAACCCTACACCCACATCGCTGCTCCGGCTCTGGCCTGTCTGAGGATCAACGACCATATGATCGCAGAAGGTGGAGTGGACAAGTACCTGACCAAAAAGTATCATAACAAGGCGTGGTAGTTATGGCAGGGTTTGGCCATCTCAACGCAACTAACTATCGCCAAAAAGGGCAGGTTCTATAGATCATGTGGGACACACCTCATTCATACCACCGTTAGGCGTTGATGCAAGATTTTGCCAAGTGGTTGGACACCACGTTCCAGCCAGATCCCTCGCCACAGCCTAAGGTGAACCATTTGTTGTTCTTGCTTGGGCTCACGAAGCCTTCACTTGCCCAGGCAGTCTTATTGCACTTCGTTAGATCACAAAGGCCCCTGTGTGGCACGACCCTGGCAGTTGAGTTGGAGATCGGACCATGGCTTGGCCGGCTGCGCTGAGCCAGAACAGGTCTTGTTGCTGGCAGAGCTAATTCTCACCGAATCGTTACTTCGAGTCAATCTGAACCATGTCACCTTTACATCAGATGAAACCCGAAGGCCTAAAAATTGGACCCACCAGCCTAGGTTCAGATCCAACGCGGATCTTGGAGGTGTAGAGAAGATCTCTATCGCAAAGGTCACTTCGGAGTGGTTGGAGAGCGATTACAGTCCCCTCAAGCCTTTGCACAGCGGTAGTGGTTTGCTTGCAACAAGTAGCTGTGATTGTGTGATACTGTGTGTATGTCACTTGTCGGGTTTTGTACCTTATAGAATTCTCAGGTGCTCTGATCCCGCCCTTTTACATTGGCTTTGTAAAAGGGTGGCGGAGATGCTTGACCCTTTTGGCTTGCTGCGAAGCTATCCGCGAGCTGGGATGTCTTGATAAAGTTCCAACCTTTGTCAAGGAGCAAAGCTGTTTCAGCCTAACAGTGTGTGAGTGATTTCTTTTGCGGCCTCCACCTTTATAGGAAAGCTTTGCAACAATCTACTGCACAGTCGTTGAGTTTGACACCCTTCGCTCAAAGATCTTTGCCAATCGCGGTCACTAGACTACTAGACTTTTCTGGTGTTTGTTCTGTCTTATGGTGCTTCCGGAAAATGATTGAGTCAAGCAGGAAAAACAACCCAATTAGGTGTGTCATGTAAATCTTTCATTGTGTGCCTGAGCCTGTCCCACCCCCCATCCTTTACCGAGGCATAACCCTTCAATCGACGGTGCGCAGGGCACCGCACTGCTTCAACTTGCTTCGCCAAATCCGCGTCCTGCAGAAGAGCGGCGACAAGAATAGTTCACAATCCCACTTTGAGGTAGGATGTGTTGACTTGTCACTCACTGTTCTTATCCCACACACTCTCCCTCTCTTTTTTTTGGGGGGTTTCAAGTCAGACTCTCACCCTCAGAAAAAACTTTGATGCAGGACTGGGAGAATGAAACTTCGGTGTGCAAGGCATTCCAAATAGGCAAGACTGAGAGCAAGGCTGTCGTGCAGCTGTGTAGTGGGATGCTACCTGAGATCCGAGACGCGCTCGAGGAAGCAGTGCGGATGTTTGGGATGAGAGCATTCATTTACCACGACGTCATAGCCAAAGAATGCTTCAGCCGTGGGTATTGCTCGACAACTCCGGGTTTGGAAGCGTGGACTCCTTATTTGACCAATGGTTCCCAAGCCAATGATCCACTGGCTACCCAGTGGCAAATACTTTTGGTAAACACTGGTACCAATAATTTGAAATGAACAATAGCAATAACAGGAAATAATCAGAACTATTTGCAAGTTACCTGATGGCGAACGAAGGTTCATTTGTTCTTGCGGCGGGTGACCAATGACTCCAAGAGGAGCCCGCCGGATGTGCGGAAAGCTCTGAACTACAAGGATGCTCAAGTCAAGCACCAGGTTTGCGGTGGCTATATCCATTTCAAGGCCAGAATCCAGGCCAAGTGCCCTGAGGGGGAATGGGCTAGTCTGTCCAAAGATCTCGACACCGCCTTTTTCGATCAGTTCTTGGACGCCGACCTGCAAGCAGCTCTTCAGAACTCGGTGCCTCCTGGAGACGTGGCAGCCATCGGGGCAATGAGGCCGGGACGAGGGCTATTTCGCGGTGTGAAACCACACAAAAACACAAATCCTTCTATAAGCTAACCAGGTCTGACAAATATAATTCAAAAGGAAACAACCCTGGCAGGGCCCACCTGCACAAGTTTGACAAGCTCCAAACAGCTGAGCAAGACAAGAGAGAAGAGGATGCTGCGAGGGAGGTGTTGGCAGCCACCTACAAACAGCTTGCAGCCCAGCTGGACCATGACCTAGCCATCGTGAAGGAAAAGGTTGTGAAAACCAAGGCTGATGAGGCTGCTGCTGCTGCAAAAGACGCTAAGTTTCTCCGTGATCGTCAGCAGCCACTAGGCTTAGCAACAGGAAACTTTAGATACCTTTAGCCTTTAGTATGTTCTCGGTTGTCTCCCTTCATCCCTCAACAAGAAGCATGAAATGATAGGTTTTGGCTTGAATATGTTCAGAAAAAGGAAAGGCTCCGCTTGGGTGAAAACTTGGATGGCGAAGCGTTGTGCTCTCATCGAAGTGGATGACAAGATGACCAATGCCATGAGCGAGTATGGATCCTTCATTGCCCAATTCCAGGGGTCTGCTGGGAGGAGGAAGCACGGAACCAATTGATAAACGCATTTTTTGACAGTTTTAAAATCAACTGGTGCCAAATGTTAAAAATTTGGTGGCTCCAATTCGGGTCTGTTGATCTTCATTTTGCTTTTGAAGCCAGGGGTTTGAAACCGTTATTCTAACCTTATAGGTACACCATTGTCGGCGTGGACACAACCTTGTGGCCTAGCAATGCGGCCTACCTGGGGTCCGCGGTGTCTACAGCAGCTGGCATTGTGAACATGTCGCAGGACAACGTTTGCCATTGCCAGCTCCCGCAATTGCAGAGCTCAACGTCCAGCACCACAATCCTCAAGCACAAAAGAACTCTTGAGGACAGCCTGATGAACCAGAAGCTCGATGTGAGCAGCATTGTCTTGCTTCGCTTTGTGAAGCCAGAGTCTCAAAAGAATGATGCCCGGCGCTCATCTCAAGCTTGCATTGCAGCCTACAGCACGAGCTTCAAGACCAATAGCTTCTCTGAAGTGGAGGCCCTGCGCACGTCTACAATAGGCCCATCACCGCTCATCAAGACTTCCCAAATGCTGGGTTATGACGCTGAGGATGGCAGCATGAGCGCTGGACTTCGCACGGAGCAGATCCTAAGCAATAAGTGCTGACACTTTTTTCTATTCAAAGGGAGAGTGTAGGGATGTGCCAATGAGTCTGATAGGATTGATAACAACAGTTAATAGACAATAGCCAAGTCGCCTTCACGTCCAGTAACTCTGAGGAAGGGGATTCCAGTGCATGTTGACATCCTGAAAGCTTATTCGAATGGTTTGGAACTCCGTGACTGTGATGATCTCCTGTTCGTGGATGTGATCCCGAATAGGCCAGGTGTTCCCAACTTGACAAGACTCATCAACTTGAAACTACCCACCGACCCTCGCTCACCTGGAAACTTCCTGTAGCCAACCTGTTCAATCCACGACTTTTATGCTTGGCTCAGGCATTGCGAATTTGCTCGGGCTGCGACTGCGTGCATTTTGGATGGCACCCTTCCCCAGCTGCACTACTTGGGCTTTGTGAGAGCGGAGCACCTGCCCAAGGTCCATGAAGCCATTACAGCCCAGGTCTATGAGCATTGGGACAACAGCTCAGAATCAGGGCCAAAGACTCGTCCAAGAGAGAGTGACGAGCTTCAACCACTTGGGCTGAAAGTGTTGGCCTCGGCCAATGGCATCATTCAGTGGCCACAGTCTCTGTCTGAGCGCTTCCCTCAAGATACACCGGAGCACAAGGCCTTGGAGGCCAAACACGAAGAGTTCTTGCAGCTCTATCCGCAAGGAGCAAGCACTGCAGCTCCTACAACTCAATCTTCGACCCCATCGAGGTCAAACGCAAAACCAGATTTCAGCATCGACCATGAGGCCTTGCCGTTGGATCCAAACCGTGCAGTGGATTTGCCAGGGGTATCTGTTGCTGACTTCACGGCCCAGAGGCAGGATCATCGCTCAAAATCTGAGATTGTTCACATCATTCGTTCTATAAAATACCAAACTTTAAACTGCCTTAGTTCTTTGGTGGCGCATCCCATGCAAGGTTGGCAGTCTCTCCTGGCAAAGGATCTCGTCCAACCGTGGTGGTCACCACTGACTACCAGCTATGGCTCGGGAATGAGCTTGATGAGGTTCTGAAGGTTGATCCATTTCCAATATTTGGATTTGGATTGGGAGATTTTGAAGACGAGGTTGTTGCAGGCCCTACTTCATGGAATTGTTCCGCAAACTAACACAGAAAAGAAGTCTCATCTCTCAACAAATGCGTTTGTTGCACTTCAATGCTGTTTGTATCATAGCTGTCATGCTTGTAGAGGTGTCACCTCGGAAACCCACAAGAAGTATGTCGTATGGCGACTTTCGGACGACAAAGACTTGGTCTACGCTGATGGATCTCTTACACCACTGTGCAATGTGCTGGAAAAAATGTCATCGCAACATGGTTTAGTCGATGTGCAGCTTCTGGATCATTCACTTGTCCCAAGAATGCGACCAGTCTCTCAGCTGCCAAGCCCGTGCAATCCGACTTTGCTCCCCCTTCCAGTCCTTGTCTCCTTTGATGTCGTCTGAGGCAGCTGAAGGAGATCAAGCAGTGCCTGCGCCATTTCGTTACAGCGTCAGTCCAGTGGCGGGAGAGAAGACCCATTGCTTGCGACCGAACAATTTTGAACCTCAAGACACGATGAACGTAAAGCACCAAATCTTGGGTCAAGCCTTTGCCAACAACTACCACAAGTTGTGCCAGAATAAACGGGCTTCTGTCGTGTGGGAGGCCGGTAAAACACCATTATGCCATGTCATGTCATATCATGATTTGGGTTGGGTGTGCAGCCATAAAGAAATTAGACCTTAGCTTGCACTTCAGGTGAACAGCGGCACAGGAGTGCCACCGAAAGTGGTGCCTGTCAAGCCAAAAATGTGGCTGACATGTTCTTTGGAGATGAGCCCGAAGACATGGTACCAGTTGAGCTCATGTGCATAGCACATGCAGGGACAAACATCGTTGACTGCTTGCTTATCGCATGCGGTGTTCATTTTGTCTAGAAAATAGGGGTGCACAGTAGACTCGTCAAGGGATGCTTTTTTGGCACATCCAAACCATTGGGCAAACACCCTTCAAGCTAATATGTTGGTTCACCTCATGAGAGGAGCATCCAAAGAGTCACTAGCAGCTACGGGACATGCCGAGATCTGAAGCCAACCTTCAGACTGAACAAAATGCGACATGAGACAACAGATTGCTTGGTGAGCCACTCTCATCATAAAAAGATTCAATTCATCGATGCTTGGAAGGACACTGGCACCGGCCTTTGTTTTGCAACTTCATCACCTTCAAGCCCTGTGTAGTTTCCCAGTTTTGAGCTCTTCGGCCTCGAGTTTGGCCGAAGCGATGCCACTCCTGTCCAAGATCGACCACATCACGGAAAGCGAAGATGAAGAGGAGAGAACTGATTCAGTTGTAGGCTGCAAATCCTTTGTTTTTCATGGAGGAAAATCCTGAAGTGTTTCTGGACATCAATCTAGAACAGTCACACGTCGAACTTCTTCTCGCCGAAGCTCAGGAGCCCAAACAAACCAAGGCGGAGACCAAAGCTCTAGCTAAGCCGAAAAAGATTCCTAAAGGTCCTAAAGGTACCAGTGGTAGGACCAAAAAGGGTGGCAAGGACCCAGAGGTGGCTGAGACTGGAGGGACCGACTCCCAGACCAAGCCTGAGCGGGGCCGCTCTTCCAATCGTGGCAGACCTAAGGCCCGAGAAACAAAAACAATCACCCCGAAAGAACCAAAGGCGAAGGTGAAGGCCAAATCGAAGGGCAAACCCCGAAAACCTACCAGTACTGAAACCAAAGAGAAGGAAGAGGGATCTGCCGGAGACACCGCGACAAGCAAAAGCAACAAAAAGATGAAAAGACCGGCAGCAGCAGGCCACTTATTTTGTTCATCTTTATTGTCCACATTCAACCGGTTTCTAGACTTAGGGCCCCTCCCTGCAATCCTTTGGTAGGCAAAGACTCGTCGGAAAGGAAGATTGGGAACCCATACTACTACGGTGCCACCAACCACTTTGCGTTCAAGGTGGATGGAAAAGAAGTTGTGAGAGCGCCCTGGCGGGGTTTCGAGAGTTCACTTTTTGCTGATTAATGTGAACTATTTGGGGGCACTAGAGTGTCTTTCGAGGTTGGTGGGGTGAAGTACGACAAGGACCATGTTCGAGAGGTGATCGTCCCCTACTCAGGCTTTTGAAGGGTGTTGCAATGATCAAACAAAATCCAACCAAAGAAACAAAGTCTTCGTTGAGGGTGAACATAGTATTTGGTGGTGCTTTGTTTGAGGAAGCAGCTCATGCTGAAGTTACAAAAGGTGCCTCAATCGATGATGTCAAAGCCCTGTGCGTCGCTCGGTATTAATTGTGAGAAGCTAAATTGCCGTGTCTTGAGAACACATGTTCTTACCTGACCTATCCTCCACCCAGCAAAATCAACAAGTCTTGAAACATGCTTTCGTTATGAGGCCAAGATGTTGGAGAAACTCCCTGATGGCGTTAAGCCGTTTGTAGCCAGGACCAAGCCAGGTAGAAGTGGAAATTCGACCGGTTTACCGGAGGAGAGCGCGGCCAAAGTCGATGCTTGCTCCGGCAATCAGAGAAAGATTCCAATGGAGCCGGAGGCTCCAGCAGATGATGCACAGGATGGAGCGGGTGAAGAGAATGAGAATGAAGAGAATGGGGAAGAAGAAGAGATGGAAGAAGACCCGCCAGAGTAGATGTTTGCTAGAGAATGCTACAGGGCTGACGGTCCGGAATCAGTCACTGAGACTCCGCGCGGAAAATCTGCTTCAGCGCTGCCGCTATAGCTTGAGAGCTTTGAGCGGAGGGAAGTGGGCGGTTTGAGTGGAGGGAAGTGGAGGGAGTTAGATCTTTGAGATAACATGTACTTATATGCTTTCGGTGGGTGGCCTGATTCAAATCTGTGGCCTGATTACAATGAAAATGTTTTATATATACATAGTATATAACTAGTATTAGTAAGGGCTTCGTGCGGCTTGCCCTATAAGCTTTTTTTACCGGGGCAGAGGTCTAGTCCCGGTCCAGTCCCAGACAGGATGGTCTTCAGGGGGAGGGTCCAGTCTGGGTGAACCGCCTGGTCGTCGTGTGCTCAGGACTTATCTCCCCTGATGGATCTCAAGGCGCGGACCTTTTGTTGAAGATGTTTCAGCTTCGGTGAACATTCCGAAGATCGCGTGTCGCGGCTTCAGCCGCGGAAGGTTTTTGGGTGGTGATGGATTCGATGTTTTTGTTGTTTTTTCTCGGAGAAAGGGCGATCTTCCCTTCTGGGGAGGGGAGACGCCGGTTTTTACGCCGGTTCGACTCCGCTGTCGGTCCTTTCCAAGAGAGGTTGAACAGCCCTATAGCCCATCCCATATGTACTACTACAGGGTCCTATATGGTCTCTCAACCTCTCTTGGTTTGCAGCCAGTTCCACTGCTGTTTCTTGCCCTTAAAATGACTGGGAACCCTGGTTTTGGTTAGAATGACCTGGAGTCGACCCGTGCTTGCCTCTTATAATTACCCGTTTGCAATCAGGTCATGTCACAGAGTTTGGGTCATGAACAGATGATTAGTTCCCACTGAAAATGACTGTAGAATGGACATGAATAGACCGCCGGACATGGTCAACCTACCGCGGATTAGGGGTCCTGGTTTTGACCTAGGCCCAAGTTCAATTGAATTGGGGAAAGACCATTCTTGTTCTGCTCATGTTGAAAGCATTCACCAGCATGGCCTTGGCTTATAGGCTACTTATAGGCTATCAGATGCTATAAGTCTTTTACTCAGATCTTTTTATATAGATCTTTTAGGAGCTCCATCTGCAGGCTTTCCACTCCCTCTTGGTCCCCATGAAGTTGATAGATTGCTAGCCCGGAACATACATGGGACTGGATTAATACATGTTTCATTAGCTTACCCTATTTTCACATGGCCCCTCCATGTGGTAACTCTTCCAGTCTCCTTCGTCTGGTGGATAGGACACGCTTTCAAACGTGGAGGATCCACTGCCTCTCTTGAGGCGAGCCCTCACGGCTTTTCGCGGCACCGAGTTGCCAGGGTCCGTACGTACCGCACCTGGCAACTCGGATCCCATTTGTTTATTACCAGGGCCCCACAAACCATAAAAACACGTGTTTTTCCTATAGCAACAATGTTTTTTTTGTGAAGAGCTTTATTTTTCATGGTTTTGATGGCGACTGGATTCTGGTATCTGTTTGCATGCAAGGCCTCGCAACTTGGGGATGGGTAGAGTGACTTTTTGTCACGAACGTCAATCACATGGACCAGTTTGATAGACACATCCACTTGGATTTTGAGATACCCTAAGCTGGCGTGTCGGGTACGCCAACCTCTTTCTTTTCCTCCGTCTTCGTGTGTCCCCACGCTCGACCGTGTGTCCAGGTGACCCTCTCCGAGTTGCAGGACGCCTTGCAAACCTTGCGACAGGACATCAACTCGCCCTTTGGAACGCAAATTCCCTAGGACTGCCATTGGAACTGCCAGTCCGGACTGGAACTGATCAGTGGTGGTTTTTCACAGGCGTCTGGGGCGGCAGTCCGGACTGGCAGGACTGCAGATGGAGTGTTTGGGAATTGGGTGCGTGGGTCTTTTGACCGGGCGGACCCTGGTAGAGACCACCTGACATGAACAGAACATGAAGAGACCACCGCGTGGCAGAAGACTCGTGAAAGACGTGCCTGCGAGCATTTGCAGAGCAAAAAAGATGTAGGGAGGTATCAAACCACTGGTACTGAAGGGCGTGATGAAACTAAGGTCTTGACTGCCTGACATCCCCAAAGATATTCAGAAATGATGAAGAATGACAAGGATCTGTTGGAGTTCCTCAGTTTCGGAACATGAATGTTGCTGGGAGAATTGTTCACATGCTTGGAATGGGTGTTGTTTGACAGACGATCTTATAGAATACACAGTTTAACAAGTCCAAACATACACCCATTAAATTTCAGTAGCTCAGTAGCTGCTGAGCGTTGTGTTTGCAAGCTGCCCGATGTTTCAGCTGCAAGAGTGGCAGGAGCCTATATAATTTGGAGCAGCTGTTCCAATAATATTATATCCAGGCCCATCCCATGG